AAGCCAGCATATGCCTTGTTCGGCTAATGCCTTTATGGCGTATTTCATTAATTCCAGCAGGCTTTCGATTTTTCAAGCTTTTTACAGCTTGTGTAATTTCATCTACATAGATTGTAGTATCCGTTCCCTGCTGCTGTACAGGCGAGATTTCCTGCGGTTGCTCAGGGTTAAAGAGTTCTTCATAGTACTCTATCCTTATCCTCTGTAAGAGGGTGGCCAGTCCTGTCCATCAACTTTCTTAGATTGCCCTTTTTTCACCTCGGAGCCGGCGGATGGTCTGCCAGAATACATCAAGATTTTACGTTTTTATGTAATGGATTCTGCATTCTTTCGTATTAAGTACGGTTTCTCTCAAAACGTATTGTGTAACTTCCCATTAACGATTCTCTTGATATTAGGGATACGAAAAATTGTGGTTTGAAGGTCCGAAGTTTCAGTGCGTTGGTCAGTAAGTTGCCACTATGAGGTCCATAATACATAAAAATCAGCGAAAGCCTGTCCAAAATGATGTAGTTAATCACGTTAGCTGTAACTCGTAATACTGTTCGTGTAAAGAAAACCTTCAGACCAATCAAATCTGGAAAATGAATTGATTCATCGAGAATGATCGTGTGGGTGTTACCATTCAGATACTGAGATTACCTGTGAGAATATATATTTGTTGAATATATTATTGTTGGTTTTAATCGTCATTTATCGTAAGAGCATTATTTTAATTTGCGTACTTCTATATTTACTTTAAGCTAAGTCGTTTCATACACTAAGCGCTAATTTCTGTTCATTATGGACTGCTGATTAGTTCTAACTGATGTCTGAAGCATAGGCTTCAGAATGAGGTCTAATTTTCTTCATGTCTGTGGTAAATTCGATTGGTCCGCATTCTTCTTTTAGTGTCACTGACTCATTTATGCTAGCCGTCGAATTGGCAATGATTGTTATTTACTTTGTTAATTTCCCACCAGCGAGTCGTTATCAAGTTTTGAAGATCTCACCTCGAATGTAATTCAGTATATATTGCAGTATATATTGATATGTTATGTTAGAAATTTACGAAGAAAAGCTGTAAGCCCTGTGGGTCTCTACCATCTGCTGATACTGTCAGAAAAGTTTATGTTCGAACGTGTTGAAAAATGTGTCATGGAATTGACGAGTAAAGAAACGACTTGTCAATTTAACGCAGTAATGCAAAAAGTTAAGATTACTCAGATCTTCTGGGCCGCTACCGAGAATGGCAACTTTCTGATTCTGTCCGTAAATGCAATCTTTTAGTTATTGATAATGGATTTACACAGCGAAAACTCTAAAGTACTCTAGAAAACTCTAGTCGCATAGGGGGACCGTTTATGCATTCACAGCTCCATGGTATTTAAATGCCTTGCATAGGACGCAAAACTGTCACTGAGTTGAGCTGAACAAGAGCTTGTTTGAAGCAATTAAAAGCAAGGGGGCGTGCATTATTGCAATGCAACCTGGTTTACTGACTACCAACCATCTTACACTACCGCAGTATTGTTTTAAAGTACGTATTTCACCGTGTAAATCCGGTATCAGTAGTAAAAATACGACGCAGTGTTACTTGACTCGTACGTGTCTTTGCAAAACATCTTGCATGTTTGGAAGTGTCATCAAGAGAATACTGCTAGCTTCTGGCACGCTAGGTCATAAAAACAAAACGTGAACGTTTTCTTTCATCTAGCATAGCTGATGCTTGGAGATTTTAATTGTATCTTTCAAAACATGTTTAAATCCAAATCCTTTTACCCAGGCTTGTGTTAAGTTCTCGTCCTTATGGACAAAGGCAAGAAAACATATAAGAATACGGTTATTACTTTCTTTGATCGTTACCGGCTCATGACAAGTTTTCGCAGTTATTATAACGGCTTATAAATTATTTTAGATTTTCGCCCTGAGTTTCTCACTTTCTGTTGCTGGAAAACAGGTTCAGTTTATGCAGAGCACGAAGGCAT